ACTGGACACTGTGGTACCCTGGCCATCCCCCTTTTAGGATTCTCGTGCACATCACAGCAGCTAAATATTGGCCATAAGTTCCAACTGAACACAGTCCCCACTTACTGAGGGGTATACATTCCAAGATCACCACTGGATGCCTAATACCATAGATAGTACTGAATCCTATATATACCATGTTTTCCCTAAGCATATATACTTATGATAAAGTTTAATTTACTTATTAGGCATTGGCAGGAGATTAATAATAATAACAACATATAATTATAATAATATACTGCAATAAAAAGTTATGTGAATGGGGTCTTTCTATATCACATTGTACTGTACATATCCTTCTTGTGAGATGTATTACATTGCCTATGTGATAAGATGAAGTGTGGTATTGTAACATAGTGTTGGGATCCTATTGACCTTCTGATGATATGTCAGGAAGGTCATCACCCTGCATCACTTCTACGTGGTACTCTTGTGCATGCACTGTGATTCTACAATAGTCAATCTTGTAAGTAAGATGGCTACTAAGTGACTAACGGGCAGGTACATATTCAGTATGGATATACTAATTAGGGATGAACAGACCCCACATCCTGAGTGGAGATATCATTATATTACTCAGAATGGTGCAAACTTTAAAACTTATGAATTATTTATTTATTTCCAGAACGTACCATTTTGTATTTTGGAACCATGGTTGACTATAGGTAACCAAAGCCTTAGAAAGTGAAACTGCCAATACGGGGATCCTACTGTACTTCCTTGAGCACTACATGTGGCTGAAGGGATGTCTTGCCAAGTGCAATATCCCCTTCCCAGGGGCAGTGTGTGTCTAATTATAGAAGTACAAAGGCCTACTCCCTTGCTTTAATTTGTGACAACTCGGAAGGTCCATTGGAGCTCCAGAGCTCCTATAGGATCAGCTGATTGCAATTGCAGTGCCATTCAATGCTTCTCTCTCTCCAGTCCTGCTTCTCTCATTCCTCTTGAAAGTCTCCCCCAATAAGCCACTTATACACAGATTGGAATGGGTAGATGGAATGGCCACATGTTTGCAGACAGAGCCCCTGGAAATCCAAGATGGTGTCAATGGTGATAGGGTTAGAAAGAGAAGTGGTCTCAGTTGCCGATCTAGCCATAAGCTGCCTTTTCCCACACTACCACAGTGTGATACAGATACCTGTTTAAGAAGTCCCCAAACTCAACTTGCTCAACTTGGACATGGCAGTCTTCTGGCATTGGACTCTGATCCCATTTTTTTTTTTTTTTTTTTGGTATCAGAGATTGAACCCGGGGACACTTAACCACTGAGCCACATCCCCAGCCCTTTTTTTATGTTTTATTAGAGTCAGGGTGTTCCTGAGTTGTTTAGGGCCTAGCTAAGTTGCTGAATCTGAACTCTCAATCCTCCTTGCCTCAGTCTCCCGATCACTGGGATTACAAACATGGGCTACCGCACCCAGCTTCTCTGATTCCACAGAAATGCCCAAGTGATCTTTTCAAATACAGATCTGATCACATCTCCATTGACACCCTTTAGTAGCTTCTCACTGCTTTTAAAATTAAACCCTAATCCTTGGTCTGGCCCCTGCAGACTGCTCCAATCTCACCTACCACCGTTCTGTACACTTTTCTTACTTTCTCTCTCAGGCTACATTGGACATGTAGTTTCCTAAGCATGTCTACCTCTCTCCTGACTCAGTCTTTGCATATGCTGTTTCTGCAAAGGAATCCCCATTTTCTTCATATTTCCGGGCATGGTCACTTTTTATTCACTTGACCAGTCTCAGATTAATGTGACCTTTCTCAGGCAACCTGTCCTTGCCACACCCTCCCTGCTCCCTGACTCTGTCCTAGAGGAGTCTTTTTTAAAAAATATTTTTAGTTGTAGCTAGACACAATAACTTTATTTTATTTATTTATTATTATGTGGTGCTGAGGATCAAACCCAGTGCCTCACATGTACCAGGCAAGCACTCTGCAACTGAGCCCAGCCTCAGCCCAAGAGTAGGTCTTTATGATAAAAACTCATAGCACCCTCTCTGCTCCCTCGTGGCACTCATCTCATTTGGTTGCACCTGCAGTCCCAGCTCCTTGGGAGGTTGAAGTAGGAAGACTACTTGAGTACAGAAATTCGAGGCCAGCCAGGTACCAAAGTGAGACCCTATTCCTAAAAATAAAATGGGAGTTGTTTTTTATGTAGATACACTTCTAACATATGTAAGGCCTAAAGCAAGAGTACAAACCAAGGCTCAGAAGCTCATGTTTAAATGTTTAAAATGTATAATGCAAAGTAACAAATTGTTAAATAAGATATTTTATTTTTAAATTTTTTAAAAAAATATTTATTTCTTAGTTGTATTGGACACGATACCTTTATTTTATTTATTTTTATGTGGTGCTGAGGATGGAACTCAGGGCTTTGCACTTGCTAGACAAACACTTTACTGCTGAGCCACAACCCCAGCCCCTCTAATTTTTTTTTTAAAGTTCTCTTTATTTTTGTGGTACTAGGGACTGAAACAAGGGGCTCTACCACTAAGCCCCTTCCCCATCCATTTTTACTTTTTATTCTTGAGAAAGGGTCTTGCTAAATTGCCAAGGCTGGCCTCAAACTTGGGATTTTCCTGTCTCAACATCCCAGGTCATTGGGGTTACAGGCGTGTGACACCATATCCAGCTAAAATGTGTTTTATTTTTATGCCTTGACAAATATATACTTCATAACACTCTGGAAGCCCAGGTTCAGTTTTAGATTTTGTTTGGAATCCTCAGGGTTCTGTATAAAACTTTTGGGGGAGAGGCAGCTTTCAGTCACTGGTCTTCAGCTGGAACCGCTTCTCTTCCCACCTGCCCCTGGTACCACTGTGGACTGTGCCCAGCTGTGTTTATAAACACGTGGGCCTGCTACCTTCCCATCCCAGCTCTGTCCACACTCTCCTGCAAGCAATCACCCCTTGACTGACTTAGGGATGCGTGTACCAGTAGTGTCTAGCTATGGGAAGGAACACCCAGGAAAGAAATCATGTGCATCCTAGATGTGAGCTTGGGCTCTTTGAGCAGGAAATTCCTAGATATCTGGAGTATGGTTCTAAGAAGGATGGAATATGGGCAAAAGAGTATTGGACTTCTCACAACATAGGAGTGCTCTATCAGAAGACTGCCAGCATGGAGCCTTCTAAAGCACGGGCCAGGGTAGATCTGCTCTTGTCTGGACCTAAGGGCAGTAATTTGATGCACCATGTCAGTTGCATGTAGACCAACTGACAGTGTAAGTCCTTGAGGTATCCCTTGTGCCTAACCCAGTGCCTGGTACAGAATAGGTGTTTGATAAATATTTGTCAAATAAATGTGGGAGGTACACCAGGAATAGCTTTGAGGATTTGGATCCATTACTGAAGATCTAGATAAGCAAGGGCCAGAAGTAGGAGTGACACTGGCCTTCTAGGGTTCCAAAATGGGTGTGTGGAACAGATGAGGTTGGGGCAGCATCCTGGATCCCATTCCCATTCCTCTTCCTTTGCCTGTCTGGCCCTCTTACCCCACAGTCCAGCATCCTTCTGTCCATAATCTTTCTACTTTTTATGGCTGCCACTCTTCCTCTGCAGCATGACAATCCATCTGTCTCCTTCCTTTTTATCTACCACTTCTAGGTCATTGTTCCTGTCTATCTCTCCTGTTGTCTCTTACTGTCTTCTAGTTGTCTCCCAGAAACTGTCCCCCCTTTTTTTTAATTTTAGTTCCCCTATGGCTCCTTATTCATCTCTTCTATATGCCCGTATCCTTCTGTCTCCTTTAATCTAAACCCCTGTGGAGCCCTGACTTATCCCAGCATTAGCCCTACTGCCTCTTTAGCTAGTCTCCTTTACTTATTCTGTTCTGTCATTCCTAGTGTTCACCCTGGTTTCATCCTTTTTCACCCATATTTCCCTGTCCCCAGATGTCTCTTTATTCTCAGTATCTATTTCCCAATCTCCATGTCTCTGTGCCCTCTTGGGATGGGCTCTGCCCCCTTGGTTCCCATTGGCTGGCATGGCCTCTCCTCTTGGTGCCCGTGTTCCCTTCCTTTGGCTCAGCCTGAGCCCAGCCCTCATTCCCCCAACTCCTTTCCCTAGTTTGTGGTGCCTGGTCTGAGCCATGAGCAGCTCAACTCGCCTGAGCTTGTTTAGTCTAACTCCCTTAGCCCCTTAGCAGCTTAGCCCTCCCACCTCTCCTGTGAGCCCTCCAGTAAACAAGAGGATCAGGGAAGACCTGACAGCTGTCAGGTGGGGGCAAGTGTCTGGCCAGCCTAGAGCAGGCATGAAAAGGAGGCTGCACTCAACACTTCCTATTCCTTCTTTCTTCAGGGAAATTCTAGAGCCTCTTTCTTGATGTCCACCCCCGAGTATGGAGTTTCTTGTCTCCAGRATCCCTATTGCTATTTTTTAGCTGGTTTCTAGGCCTTGAGCTTTTTGCTTCTTCTGAGAAAATGGCTCTAGAAGCAGGCAATCACACAGAGAAGCCTTTCAACTTGAATGATGATGATGGATTCTGCTCTATAAAATGGAGGCCCTAATCTGATCTAGGTCTTCTAACAAATGTGTGAAAGTACATGCTATATTATGGATCTACTTTTTGGGGGGTGGGTACCGGGGATTGAACTCAGGGGCATTCGATTGCTGAACCACATCCCCAGCCCTATTTTGTATTTTATTTAGGGTCTCACTGAGTTGCTTAGCTGATTTTTACTGAGGCTGATTTTGAACTGGAGATYTTCCTGTCTCAGCCTCCCGAGCCACTGGGATTACAGGCATGCGCCACCGTGCGGGCTAGTGTGGATCTTAAATGTCTGCAAAAGGCCCATGTGTTAAAGGCCTAGTCCCCAGCTTGGTGCTTTTCGGAAGTGGTGGAAACTAAGAGGTGGGGCCTAGTAGGAGGTCTTCTGATCACTGGGGATGTGCTCTTGAAGGAGGCGGTTGGAACTCAGCCTCTTTCCTTTCCTCTCTTTTTCTTTTCCCATTCAGGAGGTGAGAAGCTTTTTTCACCATGCTCTCCCTTCCATGAGCTACCTCGCCACAGACCCAAAGCAACAAGGCCAATTGATCATGGAAACCTCCAAAACTGTGAGCCAAAATAAACCTTCTTTACTTATACATTTATCACCCCAGGTATTTGGTATAGTAACAAAAAGCTGATTAACACAGCATGGTAGGAGAGACTACACACACACACACACACACACATACACACACACACACATGCTCACAAGCAAGCATACACTAAGAGAAGCTGGGTTGAATGCAGAAAACTATAGAACAGTTGTTCTCAAATGTTAGTGTGCATCAGAATTGCTAGAAGAAGTTGTTAAAACAGATTTCTGGGCTCCACCTCCAGAGTTTCTTTTTTTAAAAAAATATTTATTATTTTTTAGTTCTTGGCGGACACAACATCTTTGTTGGTATGTGGTGCTGAGGATCGAACCCRGGCCGCACGCATGCCAGGTGAGCGCGCTACCGCTTGAGCCACATCCCCAGTCCTCCAGAGTTTCTGATTTAGTAGGTGAAGTGGGAGATTTGAGAAGGATTTCCCCACATTTCCTAGCTTTGAACTCCTGGACTTAAGTGATCCTCCCATYTTAGTCTTCTGAGTGCTAGAACTMTAGGCATGTACCACTGCACTGAACTTGAATTTATCTATTTAACAAATTCCCAGGAAATGTTGGTGCTGATGGCCTAGAGACAATACTTTGAGAAATATTGTCTTAATAATCTTCATCTACCAGCTCTTTCCTAACACCTAAGACTGGGGCCAGTTAATTTTCAAAACTGAGGACCAATCAATGAGGTGAAGAGAGAACCTACATTTTGGGAGCAAATTTTTGCCACATGTACATCAAATATAGCACTAATCTCCAGGATATATAAAGAACTAAAAAAAAAATTAACATCAAAAACCCCCAAACAACCCAATCAATAAATGGGCTAAGGAGCTGAACAGACACTTCTCAGAAAAAGATATGCAATCACTCAACAATATATGGAAAAATATTCAACAACTCTAGTAATTAGAGAAATACAAATCGAAACTACTCTAAGATTTCATATCATGCCTGTCAGAATGGCAGTTATCAAGAATACAAACAATAATAAGTGTTGGTGAGGATGTGGGGGAAAAGGCATACTCATACATTGCTGGAGGAACTGCAAATGAATGCAACTAATCTGGAAAGCAGTATGGAGATTCCTTAGAAAACTTGGAATGGAACCACCATTTGACCCAGCTATCCTGCTCCTTGGTATATACCCAAAGGACTTAAAATCAGCATACTACAAGGACACAAYCACATCAATGTTTATAGCAGCTCAATTCACAATAGCTAAACTGTGGAACCAACCTAGATGCCCTTCAATAGATGAATGGATAAAGAAACTGTTGTGGGGCTGGGGTTGTGGCTCAGAGGTAGAGCACTTTCCTAGCATATGCAGGGTCCTGGGTTCGATCCTCAGCACCACATAAAAATAAGATGGAGATATTGTGTCCAACTACAACTAAAAATATATATTAAAAAAGAAACTGTTGTATGTATTCACAATTGAATATTACTCAGCATTAAGAGRGAATAAAATTATGGCATTTGCAGGTTAATGGATGGAGTTGGAGAATATCATGCTAAGGAAAGTAAGCCAATCCCCAAAAACCAAAGACCGCATGTTCTCTCTGATAAGTGGATGCTGATCCATATGGGGGCGGGGCATAGGAAAAATGGAGGAACTTTGATTGGGCAAAGGGGAGGGAGGGAAGGGGTGGGGGCATGGGGGCAGGAAAGATGGTGGAATGAGATGGACATCATTAAACTAGGTACATGTATGACTGCACGTTTGGTGTAGCGTTACACTGTATGCAACCAGAGAAATGAAAAGTTGTGCTTCAATTGTGTACAATGAATCGAAATGCATTTTTCTGTCATAGATACCTAATTAAAATATTAAAAAACTGAGGACCTTTGGGGCTAAGAGAAACCTAGTGTCCTCAGAAGGCATGGAATAGCTTTTAAACTCTTGGAGTTCTATTCTAGTAGAGACCCCATTTAAACAGCTTTGGACAGGTTTAAACATCTCCTTGGCTAATTCCTAGTATCTCTATTCCAACTCCTACTGGGGGATGATAGCTCTAAGAGGTGTTAGGGGATTAGGCTGAAAATATGGGTCATTCACTAGCCATCTGGGAACCATGATGAGTGGGAGAGAGGGAGAGGGGCAGAGACACAGGAAAAAGGTGAGAAAAAGCAGAGGGCTTGTGAGGGCAGTTACAAAAGTGTATCGGATAGACTGGTGATTAGATTTCAGTGTCCTTTGGTGGCCTGGAAGGAGGAGCAGAGTTTCCTGTTCTCTCTTCTTCTGCACCTTCTTCCAAGCTGGGCTACCTGTCTGGGGCTGGGTTATTAAGAGTGGGAGAGACTGAGAATCGGATGGCCAAGTCCTGGAGATTCCTCATGGGGAAAGCTGCAATTTTTGTGAGAGGCATAAGGCCATTTAGGGTTAAGGTGGACAAGGAACAGAAATATGAGTATACTTGAAAAAGGGAAGCAGACCCAACAGGTGAAAATGGGCTTGGGAGAATCTGTACTTCCCACAGACATGGATGAGGGGCTCAGAGCCTTAGAAGTTGGGYTGCTGGGAGCTTGTCTGGCCCTCCTTCCCAGGCCCAGGCTTTGAGGGTAGAGGGCTGAGAGTTGTATTCACATAGAGGGGTAGTGGTTGAGGGCATTGTGGGAATGAAGCATACATGAGTCGGACCATCAGTGATCAGCTTTGTAGGGGTAGATGGTCCCTCTCCTTTGAGAATAGGCATGCCTGTCCTCTCCTCTGTCTCTCTCCACTCCAATCCCCCACCCCATGTCAATGAGATATGCAAATTATTCCCTTATCTTATTGGCTGAGGCCTAAGGACCAAAGATGAGCTCAGAGAGCTGGCCTTTTTAAGAGTGCCCTTTGGGCTCTGTGCCTATAGCCCCATAGTTCTGAACACAGAGGCACCAGGCCCTGCTCCATGGGGACTCCAATCTCTGGGGAAGCCGTGCCTGTCTGGCTCTGACACTGACCATATCATCTCTTGCCATCCCTAAAGTAAGTATGTCTGGGTACCTGGGTGTCAGACTTCTCACCTGTAGTTCCTTCCTCAGACACCTGCTATTCCTGTTGTCAGTTTTCTAGAATCCTCAAATTTCTGCACCCTACCCCACCCCTGTACTGGCTGCCATCATATCAGAGAGATAATCAATCTTCCCCACTTACCTCTTCTCTGCACATCCAGTTCTCTCTGGACCCTGATTCAGGTCTCACCATCTCCTTCCAGTCAAAGACCAGTTCCTTCAATCGTGTCTTTGTTTTCAACTCCTCTGTGCTCTAAGGGCAAAGAGCTCCATAGAGAATACAGAACCTTTTCTGAGACAAAAAAAGAGGACTTGTCCTTCCTTTCACCTCTGTAGCTATGGTCTGGGGATCTGAGATGTGACCGAGAAGAGAATTACCTAGGCTTGGGGCATCAAGAGGGAGCCAAAGTCTAAGGGGATGAACACTCCTTGCTCTGCTCATTCTGAGGGTGGGAGTGGAGCTGTTGGAATTGGGAGCTGGGCGAGAGCTGGGACTTTCAGGCTGGGAAGGATCTCTGAAAGGCAGAGGTTCCCCAAGTGCACATGTGCTCTGTGGTTGGTAACAGAGAAGAGAGAGTTATTTGGTGTCATACGTTTGGGACACTCTGTGTTGAAGTTGAACAGATGGTTTGCTAAAGGACTTCTCAGATTAATTGCTCTTCTGCGAGAGGTAGGGATAGGAGGCAGCCTTTCTAAAATTATTTGAGCATAGACCTCTTCTTGGGTACTTCTTAGAGTTTGTGTTTAACAGAACACTCTTTGGGAGATGTTATAAAGTCTAAATGCCCTCATTGGGAAAAAAAAAAAAAGGAAAGTGGGTTAGAAAAGCACAGGCAATCTGCTCAATATAGCAGATTTGAATCAAAGGGGTGAAATTCAGAGTTGGTGGGTTCTTCTTTGGAGAGATTGGTTTTGAGGAAAGATGGTGGCCACTCAGTTCAGATCTTTCTAGAACTAGTTCTAGGACTTTTATTTTTCTCTTAGAAAGTCTCTTTTTTTCTATAACAGGGAATCAATGACTAATCCATAGAACAAATGAGCACCAAGAGTCTTCCTGAGACACTGTTCTGAGTGCCTTGAAAGACAGAAAAGATAGAGATGTAACAGCACAGTATCCTTATGTCTTAAGATTCACAGCACACATGCCTTCCCACTGTCCTAAAACACACACACATTCAGTCACAGTTAATTAAGCACAATTTTTTAATTGCTTGGAAATGGAATGCTGTCTCTTGAGATGACAGGGCCTCTCAGTATGTCTCTGCACTAGGGTTGGGAAAACTGCATATTCCTCTTGTTTTTCATTAATTCCAGAGTCTCCTGTGGGGTGAGAGTCCTCTTCTTCCATCAGGTCTTCAATTGCTTGCCCCTGTCAGGAACCCATGCTAACTGAAAGGTTGCCTCCGGCTCTGGAGGAACAGGACTGCACCATTAATTTGGTTTTTCAGAACTCTGGCTCCAGCACATTTGAACTTTGGAGGAAGAGGGTTTGGTAGAAGAGGATGACAAGCAGCCTCCACATACTCCAGACCTCTCTTTCTTGCAGGTGCACATCTCCTAGCCCAGACACAGAATGGCACTGTCCCCCAGCCCCCTGGCCATGGAATATGTCAATGACTTTGACTTGATGAAGTTTGAGGTAAAGCGGGAGCCCCCGGAGGGACGATCAGTGGCCTCAACAGCCTCTCTGGGCTCTACACCTTACAGCTCAGTGCCCCCTTCACCAACCTTCAGTGAGTCAGGCGTGGTGGGGGCCACTGAGGGCCCCCGGGCAGGCCTGGAGGAGCTGTACTGGCTGGCCACCCTGCAGCAGCAGCTGGATTCTGGGGAAGTGCTGGGGCTGAGTCCTGATGAGGCTGTGGAGTTGCTGCAGGGTCAGGGCCCTGTCCCTGTTGAGGGGCCCCATGGCTACTACCCAGAGAACCTAGAGGAAACAGGAGCCCAGCATGCCCAGGTGAGTGACTTGTAGGCTGGTCTGAGGGGAGGCAGACTGAAGGAGGCGGTCCAAGAGAGGGAGAGTTCCTGGAAAGGGTTTTGGACTGGGGAAAGAGGGCAGGAAAAGGGAAGAAGGGCTCTTAAAAGAAATCAGAGGAAAACTACGTTTTTTTTTTTTTTTTTTCAAAAGGAAGAGAAATGAATAGACTGAATCAGAAGGAACAGGGATAAGTTAGAAAAGGCCCCCGGAGAGGGATTACAGGGGAGTAAATAGATGCCCCATGTGGAATGGAGCCGGGTTAAGACAGTGGTTGAGGTTGGCCTTTCCAAGGCTTTGTGCTTTCCCAATGCCCAACCTTCTCAGGAAGGATTGGAACTCATCCTATTAATTATAGACACAGATGGGGGTATTGAGGGCATTAGGGCATAATCTAAATCTTTTGAGGGTCACCGGGTTGCGGTCTTCAGGACATGGAAACGTGGCTTGTTGGAGGGGAGGGGACTGTCTGGGCACGGGTCCCTGGTACACAACTGGGCCTGAAGCGGGATGCTGCGAGGGGCACCGAGTGTAGTAGATGAGCTTGCCTGACAGTGGGAGGCAGGGCCTGCTCTGCAGGGTGTGCCAAGGGGTGCGAGTCGGGTGTCTAGGACCTGTGGGTCTGGACTGAGATGGATTCTGTTAGAAAAGGGGGCATTCAGGTAAAAGTGGGAACCGGGGGTCGAAGCCTTCTCGACAGCGGGGCTAACCCAGAGTTCCCACCTGTGGATGGAGCAGGGTGGGACCCACAGCCGACCAGGTCCCTGCATTGTTCCTCCTCAGCTGGCCGAGCGGTTTTCGGACGCAGCGCTGGTATCCATGTCTGTGCGGGAGCTAAACCGGCAGCTGCGCGGCTGCGGGCGCGACGAGGCGCTTCGGCTGAAGCAGAGGCGCCGCACGCTGAAGAACCGCGGTTACGCGCAGGCCTGTCGCTCCAAGCGGCTGCAGCAGCGGCGCGGGCTGGAGGCGGAGCGCGCCCGCCTGGCTGCTCAGTTAGACGCGCTGCGGGCGGAGGTAGCTCGCCTGTCTCGGGAGCGCGACCTCTACAAGGCTCGCTGTGACCGGTTGACATCTAGCGGCCCCGGGCCAGGGGACCACACCCACCTCCTCCTCTGAGCAGCTGGGGCAGGGGGCGTGGGCCGTGGAGGTGGTTGAGTTGGAGATTAGCAGCCAGCTAACCCCTGTCCACTGGTCCCATCCACTCCCCGTATGACCACACAAATAACCCCAAACATTCTGGACCTTCAAGGCATGCCCGAAGTTAGCCTGGCCATTTTCTGGGAGAGGTAACTCCTCCACTCATACACCTCCTCAGGCCATAAACCTTAGCTTTCATGAGTAGCAAGCATACTGAGCTCTGCAGGGGCCAATGACAGGCACTGAAGGTGCAGGTGTGGAGGATGGTTGGGTGGCACAGTGAATGGAAGGAGAGGGAGTGGTACATTTCCCCCCTCAGTTTAGTTCTTAATTCAAGGTTTTCAACTTGTAGTGCATTAAGACTACAATTAGCAATGAGGCTGTTTTTTTTTTTTTTTTTTTCACTTGAAGAACTGTAACCTCCCCATTTTAGGCCTACTGCATTTTCAAGATTTAATAATTCTCAACAGCAAGACTAGGAACTCTACCCAATATGTGTTTTCTTGCCCAACCCAGTGGCCTGCAGGGTCCAGAGCAGTACAGGTCTGAGAAGTAAACCCTGGGGAGTGGTTTGGTGTCAACTGGGAAAGAGCCCTTGGTGCTAATCACGGCTCTGCCATAGGAGCCCTTTGTCACCTTGAGCTAATCAATTGTTCCCTGGGACTTAGACACTTCATCTAATTTTCACTTAGATTGGATGACTTCTGGCACTTTTTCAGTTTTGGCATCTCATCCATGAGGGACTCCCATTGGTGTCCCCAAGAGGTCCCTAAGACAAGCTTACAGAAAGCCCTCCTGTCCTGCTTCAGCTTCCTGGCTGCAGCCTAAGCTGTGGGAGAGCAATCCAGGAGGGGAAGCATGCACTGGGAAACAGGCACTGGGCCTCTGCTACTTCCTCCAAGCTGCCTCAGTCTCCAGACCTACTTCCTGCCTCTGAGGGCTGAGGTGAGACTTCCCAGGATGACGGGGAGCTGAGTGCAGCTTTTATGAATTAAACTTGAAGCCCAGGTGAAATTCTAACGTTACTGGCTAAATGTTTTTGCAATTTAAGAAATGTTCCTTCTCTACCCCTGTTTCATGTTACTATTTTGTGCATCTGTGTGTATATCAGAAAGAGGGTGGGAGAAACCACCTGGAACTGAGTGGCACATCTCAGTACTGAAGGGCTAATGAAAATGGGGTAGAGGGGTGGGAATTGGTCCAGATGGAGCCTCTACCTTCCACCACCGCCACCACAAAAGCCCAGGAGCAGCAGTGGTCTAGCTAGGCTTGCCTGTGGTTATCCTCAAGGTCTCACAGTTGCCATGGTAACCCCTCTAGTTCCGCAGCATATGGGGAGGGCCAGTGGGGCCTCTGGGCAGAGCAGAGGCATTGAGCTGGGAGCATCCACCTCATCAGCCACAGTTGTCTGTCCTCTAAGGGACATAATAAATGGGAGAAGTGGTTGGGTATGGGGGAAGCGGCTCCCATATGTCTCTCTTCCTTTCTGCCCCCTCTATCCACCCCCTCCCCAGCTGTCTCTTCTCTTCCCCTCACAGTTCTTGTTCCCTCTCCTCCTCTAGCCCAGCTCATCCCTCCTCCACTCAGGAGCCTGCAACAGGAGTCCTTTCCTCCATCCCCCCTTAGAATTTCTCTTCTCCCTTCCCTACCTTTGGCTAATGGCTATCCTCTCTGGCTCTCATACCCCTCTGAGGGCTCATGGGAGAGGTAACTCCTCTCCTCCATCCTCTTCCACACTTCTCGTTGAAAGGAGGGGCTTGGGTGGAGAAGATCTCTCAGGAGCTCAGCTCTTCTTCCTTTACTCTGAATTTCACCTGTGTCCTTGCCTGTTCCCCGGAACTTTAATCCATACTCTCTGCTTCTCTTGCAAACCTTTCTTACCTTCATTGCACAACAGGGCTGAGATACTCATCCACATATACCTGCGCATACAACTAGGTCATATATACATACACCTGAGTCTCAAGGTGATAAAGCTGGATCAGAGGGCTATACCTCAAATAAAGTTGCACATTGTAATGATGAAGAGTGTGGGTGTTTTATAGCTGGGCCTGGACTCAAGCTCCAGTTCTACGAATTATTCTCTGGCCATGGGTAAGTTAAAAATCAAGCCTCACTTGCTTTGTCAGAAAAATGGGGGAAATGATGATAACTATTAATGAGAATGAATGTATTTAAAGAAGCAAAGTTTGACACATGCTAAAGAATAAACTTTGCTGCTGTTGTTAATGTTATCATCAATAGTGCACAGCTGGGCTTCCTGAACCACTGAAGCCACATTCATGGAGGGCCAGGGATATGTGGTGCATGAAAGCACATACATTTACACACCCAGGAAAATCAGGTTGTGCATTCCTTAAATGCCCTCTCTATGCTCCGACTTCACTAACTGATCTGCTACCTCCTTCAGTCACCACCCCAACAATCTTTCTTGACCCACCCCACAGCTGTGTGGAGKCAGGGGTTCAACCCTCAGGGACTCAGCATGCTTCTCTGTAGACAGCTGTAAGAAAGCATCAGCCTGCCCCTTCTTGACAGCCTCTTATTACCTCCCCATCTCCTATAACTAACCCCCACAGTGTCTGGACCCCTGTGCTTGGGAAGTAAGGGTGGGGGCTCCTTAGAGCCCACTGGCACATGATTGGGGTAAGACTGCAGAGACCATGCCTGCCTGGGGAGCTTTGGTTCAGATTTTGAAGGGTGCTGGCCCACATTTTCTATGGTTTGTATGGGTACTGCAGACTACCCAATGAACATCCGAGACATGATAGGTAGAGATGGAAGTGCTAGGAGTGGTTCCTTTTATTAATGGCAGGAAAGTCAGGATTACTGAAGGAAGTCACTGAGGGCCACAAACTAGAGGGGTATGGGGCTTGGAAAGATGGGGGCAGGGCCCATCACTCACTTCCAGAACCCAGGGGGCACAGCTGGTTCAAGAGGCAGAGGCACTAGTCACTTGAGTCACATGGGTCAGGACAGGCACCTGGGAAGGTGTGGAATAGTCATAAGCCAAAGTAATCTCCTTAGAGACCCCACTTTGCACATCCTTTGTGTGCACCCTTTTCGGGCCCCAGGACTCACTGAGAGGTGGAGGGTGTGTCGATCCGATGGGAGGCAGTCATGGGCTAGGGCTGGGAGTCGTGGCTGGCGTGCAGGGCCTGGGAGCCCCAGGGCTGATGCCCTGACTGGCGTAGTACTCCACCACCTGCCGGGGCACCTCAGCCAGGACGCACTTAGCCAGAGCAGACGGGGCAGCCTGGGATGGGGCGGAGACATKGTTAGGGGCTGGATAAGATGAGCGAAGGACTGCGGAGTGGTCWGCTGGGCTCCAGCGCACTTCGCAGGACATCAAGCAGATGAGACATAGATGTCAGATCTGAGGGCAGGAGGAGCTGAGGAGCCCTTCCGCTGGAGGGGCACCGAGCACTCACATCCTTGAAGTCCCGGAAGGGCACGAATTGGACGATGTCACGGGCTGCCGGCACCCCTCGGGGGCAGCGCAAGGGACCATCGTCGCCGTCCAGCAGCCGCATGTCAGAGAAGTCGGCATTGCCCACACCCACGATGATAATGGACATGGGCAGGCGGGAGGCGTGCACAATCGCTGTGCGGGTCTCAGCCATGTCACTCACCACTCCGTCCGTGAGCACCAGCAGCACTGAGTACTTCTGAGGGCAGAGAGAGGGGGAAGAAAGGTCGTCTCTGTGTGCGAGGATGTTGACACCTATCCCCAGCCCAGGCCCTGAATCTGATATCACCTGAGGACACACAGGGTACAGGCAGCACCTGCTTGTCTATTTTATCTCCTCACCGTGGCTTGGCCGGTGCTCTGTTCCCGCTGTGCAGGCCCAGCAACACGGTTGATGATGGGGGCGACGTTGGTGGGGCCATACAGCTGGATCTGTGGCAAGCACCGACGGTAGGAAGCAATGACCCCTGAGATCTCTGTGGGCAAAGAAAAGARGTGTAACTAGCAGAGATCAGGAGGTGCTTCTGTTCTTGGGACCTGCCACCCCAATTTCCTCACTAAAACAGGAAGAAAGTTGGGTAGTTTCCTGGGCTGAAAGGGTTGTGTGGGTAGACTCTGGGCTGTGGGAAGGAGTCTTACCCAGTGAAGCCAGGCCTTGGATGGGTGAAAGGGACAGGGCGCTGAGCCCATGGGATTGGAGTCTGTGCTCCTGTGTGAGATGTACAGACATGCGCAGCAAGCATGTGTGGCAGGTAGGAGGTAGGTTGGTGGGACTTTCCCAGTTTACCTTCACATTCAGGATTTTCTGGGTCAAAGTTGATGGCAAAGTCATGGGACACCTGTGTGGATAAGGTGAGCACAATGAGGGGGTGAGTCTTCTTCCTGTCTGACACCCCCATATCCTCCCTTCCCCTACACCCAGCCTACCTCGAAGTTGGGGGGGATCCGGGCTCCAAAGCCAAAAGCTGGGAACCGCTTATCACTGGAAAGAAGAAAAGGCTGTGGGGCTCCTGGGGCAAGGCTGGCCTTCCTGTTCCTCCCCATCTCCCTCTTACCTGTCATAGTCCTGGCAGATGCCTCCCACTGCACGCAGGGCCTGCAGGTAGTGGTTGGGCTGGCGGGGACTGAGGCAGTGGAGGGACTGGCTGCTCCTTGGGTCCCCATTGGAGGCGGTGAAGTCGATGGCCACCTGGTGAGGATGAGGGTGAGGGTGAGGAAAGGATCATGCTGTAGCTATGAGAGCTGCCACAGAGGCTAGCCAGGACTAGAGTAGGACTGTAGGGAGGACTGAGATGAGTCTGGGGGACCACAGGTAGTCTCAGTGTGGTGAGCTCTGTGGTATAAGCTAACATTTCTAAGACTCGTAAGAAGCATGAGTAGGGGCAGTGGGATTATGGGCTCATTGCAGACTTAGTCTCTCCCTCTTATTTGTGCCCTTATTCCCTGGGCCTTTACCGTGAAGCTGATCTGGCAGCCACCCATGATGTAATCCAGGAAGGTGTGCACCTTCTCCACCTGGCAGAAGGAGGAGAGAAAATGAGGTGGAGGCATGGTCTTTTGGGGAAGAAGTTTGGATAGAGCTTCTGTGGGAAAGGTGGAGGGACCAGAGTTTTTGAGGTTGCAGTTGGGGGTAGGATGGGGCAGGGATTCCCAGTTCCCAGGAGCAGAGAAATGGTTAGTCTTTGAAACAAGGGAAGGGTTGAATCAGATTGTGGCAGGGGAAGGGGCAGAGGCAACACTTGAAACAAGAATTTACCGTGCACTGGGCCAGGACTACCGTCCCTGAGCTCTTGTAATTTTTCTTCTTGTCCCGATACTTGGGATTGATACAGTCCCACTGCATCTAGACCACATGCACCCCACAAACACAGGGTCATAAGTCCATCAGGTGGCCTCTCTTGCCCCTTTCCAGCAAAGCCTCCTAGAGCAAGATCCCCATGGCTCCATCCTTTGACCAAATCTGGGGACTTTCCACCCTCTCCACCTCCAGCCAATTATGGTGGTCTCTTCAGAGTCACCCTTAGGATTTTCCCAGGAATTTGGGTGGGATTCTGAGGTGGGGTAGGGTCTCTGTGGCACCTCCTGCCCAGGGTTTGCCGTCCCTTCCTGCATCTCCTGGAAAGTGCTGGTGAACTCGCCAATGAAGTCATGCTTCCCACTGGAGTCATAGTCATACACCAGGAACTGAAAAGGGAGGGGGAGAGGTGGGATCTGGGTTAGGGATGCTTTGTGGTGCTTTCTAAGTGGGGTGGGGGATTCAGGGTGGTAGGAGCTGCACAGTCTCTAGACCCACACAGATATTGACCGGCCCAGAGAGCTACCTGCTGAACTTGGTTCTTTAGCTCAATCTGGCAGGGACTTTGGCCTCTGATAAAAATCACACATGTGGGAAGCTTAACATCGAGCTGTGAACTGTTATTTATCCCACAGTGAGAAGTGCTTATCACATGGGGGAGAGGGAGGCAGCTTGCCACACTCGGTGGGGAAGGTCTCAGACAGCAGGCTGGACGTTCCAAGTAGGTTATGCTTGCTTGGCTGGGGCTTCACCTTGAGGGGCCGGTGGACATCACAGCTGCATAGAGAGTGCAGGGACAGGCGGAATGGCTCCCAATTGGGGTTCAGGTTGTTTTTCACCACCTTGGAGAGACACCAGGGGAGGGAACTTGTTACCTCCTTTCTCGGTTTCCTTGCTCTTCTCTTTGTCCCTCCCATTTCCATAGCTCTAGGCACYGACCTCAGTTCTCCAGACCAGCTGGTCACTTTGGTCCCCATTGGTCTTATAGATCTCCATGAAAGGGTCAGACTTGCTGAACAGGTCCTGGGGATGCAAGGTGAGGGCCCATGAGCTGATGAAGTTTGTAAGGAGGGACTGGAGGGTGCTAACACTGAGAAGGAAACAGGCCCGAGACTCTGGGATTTGTCTCCAGTGGGAGGAGTAGAGCTCTCTAACAGGGAACATAGGGGACTGGACTCTGGGGTTCCAACCTTGTTGTCCAGTTTGTGGGCTCTGAAGGTAAGTTGCACATAGTCGTTGGTACCAGATACCTCCTCTGCTACAATCTGCAAGGAGGACACAGGTGGTAGGACTCCACCCACACCCCGCCGACCCAGGGCCACCCCATACCCCCCGACTGGTGAATGTATTCCTGGACATGATATTCTTATGGATGTTCATGCAGGGGCATTGACTACCTGGCCCAAGGGTGAGCACAGGTGACCTTGCCTACCGTGATAGTGGACTTGCCCGCTGTCTTCCCATTCTTCAGCAGTAGTGGCTTAGTGACTTTGGTTTGTGACACGATCTGGGGATGAAGGTAGAAGGAGACAGCTGTAATGCCTTCACCTGCTTTGGCCAGGGTATGAAGGGTAGAAGAATCAGTGCTCTCCGTGTGTCCACAAGGGTTGGCCCTTTGGCTAAGTTAGTGGTGGACTCAGTTTCTACAGCAGCCTTTAGAGGGAGGTACAGGCCTAAGACTTGGGAGGGTGAGGCAGGAGGATTGCAGG